CACACACACACACACACACACACACACACACACATTGCAGTATAACCTCTGCAGTGGCAGCTTATTCCCACCACGTGTGGCACTGGTGTAAATAATATCTAGTATATACTTGCTCACATCTGTTATCTGTATTTGGATACAGGAATAAACTCACAGAGAAGCAACAATAAAATAAATTATTTATTTCCTATTTCTTTCTGAGTCAAATTCTAATCCATGTGTATGGTGCTAATAATTTCCCTTTCCATTAATTAATTTGCCAAAACCTATTCTATTTTATTGGGTGAGTGAATGTTTCACAAGAATTTTAATTAGATACAAATTGATAAATTGTAATGCTATGCAATAATAAAAAAATGGGAAATTTGGGTGGATATTGTATGGGTTTATTATGTAGCATTACAGGTCAGAATATTGTTGCACTCAGAGGCAGGAGAGAAAGTGAGGCTGAAAAAAGGTGAAAATTGAAGATGAGTGTTCCTTCTTTCCTTGTGTGTATCTCCTCTTGCAATATCTACTCTTTGGAGAAAGAAAAGATTAAAGTAGTGGGCATAGTATATATTTTGATACAAAATAATTATGTCTACATTCTCCTTTCTGAAATGCCCCCCATCCTTTTTGATTCGCACTTCTCTACACTAAATAAACATGAGTAGACACTAGTGATGATGTGAATTTTCTCTGCTACATTGTTCCTATGCCTTGGTTAGTCTCTCTCTTAAGCCCTTTGTATCTCATGAGATTGATCTGTGTTCTCAATATCTAGTCTCCAAGCCTAGGACTTTATACATTTTCTTGTGGGTAATAAATTAATCGTGCACGTCTACTGGAAGTCTGCATCTCAGAGATACATGTCCTTTCTTTGACTTAGGATTTCCCATCATCTTACTATGTCGACTACCACAAGACACAAAACTCTGAGTTCTGTTCAAGGATTATATTGCATTATATGGATTCAGTTTTTTTTTTTCTGAATGCACCAACTGATATGTGAACTAGGACCACTTCCGAATGATTCAGGATTAAATTTTATTTAATTCTTTTTGTTTTACAGAGACACACATATCTTGAAAGTTTTGCTGGGAAGACTTAATTAGACTTGTTCTTCCTTTGGGGTTATGTGTATCTTTTCATCCACAGTCTTCAGTTCTAGATGCAGCAGTGAGTTCCAGGTCTTATGCAGAAAGCAATCCTAAATTCATTTTCAGAGCACTGGGTCTTACAGTGACCTTTACTCATTCTGCACTCCCACCTCAAATCCAAACTACCATATTCAGGATACCTCTTTTTGGCTGCAAGAAGAAAAGAATGGCTGGAATTAGGAAACTATATATAACATAACTATACAGAGAAAGTTCTAGAGACAAAAGATTATAGTGTGACCATTCTCCAATGCTGGGGAAAATTTAAGTGAATTCATTGTTGCCTTACAGGAAGGATATTCTAGACTTCAGAAAGTGTCATGGGGCTAAGTAGGTGTTCATAAATGACTGGGTGATGGCCCAGGAAAAGTTCTTGAAGATAATTGTAGCTGAAGTTATCCTGTTCCTGCCCGGCTCCCATGGCCCTCAGACCTAAGTAAACACACAAAGACTTTTATTATTTAAAATGTTTGGCCTAATGGCTCAGGCTTCTTGCTAGCTATTTTTATATCTTAAATTAACCCATTTCTATTAATCTATAAGTTGCTATGTGGCTCATGACTTACTGGTATCTTTACATGTTGCTTCTCATCACAGCGGCTGGCAGCATCTCCCTGCCTCAGCCTTCCACTTCCCAGTGTTCTCTTCCCTCTCGGTCCCACCTATACTTCCTGCCTGGCTACTGGCCAATTAGCATCTTATTTATTAATCAATCATCATCAGCTGACAATCATAAAAGTGGGTCATGATTTATGTTCTGCCTGGCTTTCTTTCTGCAGCTATCCATAGAATTAAGGATGCCCTATTCTGCTCTCATAAATAATCAACCTAAGCCTTATGCCTTATGAGTCATTACTGAACATTATTACTAAAATTCATTGCTACTTAATTTTGTCTTTCAAAAGTATTCAGAATTAGGCAATGGTAAACAATTTGTTCAAATGCTTTCAAATTTCCTGGATACTTTGTGGTTTTCTTTCACAAATATATGAACTAAATTATGTCTATATGTAACAAAAGCATTGATCAAAGAGAAAAGGGAAGGACAGTGAGAGAGAGAGATGGGGGTAAGGGAGGGAAACACTCGCACACACACACACACACACACACAGAGAGAGAGAGAGAGAGAGAGAGAGAGAGAGAGTATGCATTCATTTTTCACCCTTATGGGAATACCACAACACTTCTGAAATAATAGTTGTTTGAAAAGGCATTCTTCAGATTTTTGTTTGTTGTGTTAATCTTGGTAAGAATGAAGTGTGCATAAGACCCAAATCCACCATGCCACTTTTTTATGATGTACGATTCCATTAGCACACACTTACTTACACATTGTATATAAAAGCTTTCATATTTCAATGACAGTTGAGCTTATAGGCCACATAAAACCTGAAATATTTACTTACTTTATTTTTAGGTAAAAAACAGTTTACTAACTCCTGCTTTGCTTTTAATTCCTTTTGAAACAAGAAAAAAAAAAGGATGAAAAATTTGTAGCTGGAGTCATGAGCAGATTCTACCAATACTGGTGTTCTGCCATGGTGAACTTTGTCATGTCTTTGTCTAGAACTGCAAAATTAAAGTCTCTCTCTCTCTCTCTCTCTCTCTCTCTCTCTCTCTCTCTCTCTCTCTCTCTCTTTTTTTATTTTTTTGTCCGAGACAGGGTTTCTCTGTGTAGCTTTG